AACATTCATCTGAAAGATATTTGAAACTGGAAAATGACTATCAGTCTTTGTTTAAAGGACTGGGACAAGTCACAGGTTACAGCCATAAAATATCAGTGAATGAAAAGGTCAAACCTGTAGCTCAAGCTTTACGGAGAGGCTGTGAATCAGGAGCTAGATAAAATGCTGGAAGATGAAATAATAGAGGAAGTGCATGAAGGATCTGAATGGGTGTCCAACATTCTTTTCATCCCAAAAAAAGACACTAAAGAAGTGAGACTTTGTGTTGACCTAAGAGAAGTGAACAAAGCAGTGGTACGAGAAAGACACCCAGTACCAACAATAGATAATATACTGCAAGCAATGCAGGGAGCAAAGGTGTTTGCTAAACTGGATGCCCGTAAAGGTTTTTGGCAAGTCGATCTAGCACCTGAATCCAGACAAATGACCACATTCATCACACACAGAGGATGCTACCGTTTTAAGAAGGTGAAGTTTGGATTGTGTAGTGCTCCAGAAGCATACCAGAAAGCCATGGATTCTATGTTTTGTGGGATGCCAGATGTAGTGTGCTACATGGATGACATGGTAGTGTTTGTGGAAACTGAAAAGGAGTTGGAACAAAGACTGAGAAAAGTTTTTTTAAAGACTTCAAGAGAAAGGACTTACACTGAATAAGGAAAAGGGTTTTTTGGACAGATTGAGATTTTGGGTCATGTCGTCTCAGCTGATAGAATAAAACCAGATTCACTGAAAGTAGAAGCAATTGGTAATGCTCCAAGACCCAAAATGTAGCAACGTTTTTAGGCACTTGTGGATTTTTGATGAAGTTTGTGCCTAATTATGCAAATTTGTCAGAGCCTCTCAGAAAACTAACAAGACAAGGACAAGAGGGGCAGTGGTCATCTAAAGCAGAACTTGCATTTAAAGGGCTAAAAAAGGAATTGGTTAGTGAACCGTGCCTGGCATACTTTAACATAAATGCACAAACATTTGTGATAAGTGATGTGATAAGTTGGACTGGGAGCAGTTTTGCTTCAGACCCAAGCAGATGGAACAAAGAAACCGGTAGCATATGCAAGCCGCTCACTGACACCTACAGAACGGCGTTACTCTCAGATAGAACGCGAAGCCCTAGGATGTGTATGAACAGTCAAACACTTTAGAGCATATTTATGGGGTGGCACATTTACCCTTCAGACAGATCACCGACCTCTCATTTATATGCTTAATCCAGAAAAGTTAAGGCTTTTACCTCCACGAATAAAAAGACTAGGACTTTGGAGACTGTGTCCATACGACTATAAGATTGAACACATTGCAGGTAAAGCCAATGTTGCAGACTCACTTTCCAGACTTCCATTACCAGAGATGGAAGACAGCAGTTATGTGGACGAGTATATGGACAGAGTGCTTGCTGTAAATATGATGGATGTTCAAGCATTATCTCTGGAGGAACTAAAAAGTGCTACAGTGACAGACACTACGTTGACACAACTGCTTTCCATAGTGGAGACAGGAAAGTGGCCTGCTAGGCTACCTAAAACCTTACAGCCATACAAGCAGTGCGCAGACTAGCTATCAGTGTATGATGGCCTTTTGCTGAGAGGAAATAGAATAGTTCTGCCCTCTGCACATATTCAACAAGCTCTGAAAATAGCACATGAGACACATCAGGGTATTGTTCGCACAAAGCAATTTTTAAGAAGCAAATTCTATTGGCCTAACATGGACACGGACGTAGAAAGAATGATCAGAAATTATAATGCGTGTGTACTGAATCAACCCTTGCACGAAGATTGGGTGTTGATTTGGTGGGTCCTATCAAGAATGTGTATTTACTCACTGTTATAGACTATTACACATCATACCCTGAAGCAGTAGTCATAAATGACATAACTTGATGAAATGATGAAAATCTTGGCGCTATTTGGGTATCCCTTGGAGGTTGTGACGGATAACGGCAAGCAATTTGTGGGAAAAGTCTTCGAAGTATTCCTGAAAACTAGTGGAGTTAAGCACATCAAAGCTTCACCATACTATCCTAAAAGTAACGGTAAAATCGAAAGATTCCATCGCTATCTGAAGAAAGCCTTCAAAGCAGCTAAAAGTGAAGGAAGAAAGTGGAGAGAAGAATTATCGAAGATTCTACTTGCTTATCGCTCAACACCACACAGAGCATCAGGTGAGACACCAGCCAATCTGATATTCGGGCGAGATGTTCGCACAAAGTTATCTAGCCTCATCACCGGAAGTTGAGATACAAAAGACATCGAAAGTCATCATAAACTCTACAAAGAAAAAATGAAACAGCATGCAGACATGACAAATCGAGCTAAAGAACACAACTTTAAGTTGGGAGACATAGTATATGTTATGAGTCTGGAAGATGGAAAGCTAGACTCGAAATATAGGGACACTCGCTATGTATTGCTCAAGCATACGTCAGATAGTTCATTTGAAATTGTCAATGTAGAAGATGGATCCAGGATCGTGAGAAATGTGAAACACTTGCGCCATGTACCTGTTCCATTGGAGATCAGCATGCCAGATTCTGCTGAAAACTGGAGTGATGAAGGAGCTCAAGAGACATTGTTGAAGTCAGATGTTTCAGAGCAGTCACAGATTTCCTCAGTTACAGTACCAGAGACTACTAACAAGCCTGTGACTACTCGTAGCGGTAGAGTGGTTAAGAAACCTGCTCGTTTCAAGGACATGATTATGTAGATGTTTACATAGGCCCCGTTTTCTGATTGTTTATTTAGTCTAGACTTAAAAGAGGTTGAGTAACAGTAACATGAAAAGATGTTTAGGTTTATTAAGATAATTTGTGTTTTGGGGTTATTTAAAGTTCTTTAATACTAAAGATGGGAGGGATGTAGTATAGTGATATCGCGAGAAGAGCGAGACTTGAGGGACGAGAGTTAGAGATCAGTTATGGAAGCACTGAGTTGAGAGTTGTTAATAAAACAGTTATCTGAACAGTAATCTGAAAGTGCACCGTGCTTAAAACTATTGATTCTATTGAGTCGACTCAGAATGAATGATTCGTCATTTGTTTGGCTCTTTTGTCTGCTCGCGTTGACATCAATACGGAACATAGCCAAATATGAAGTGCCGGATCCAGTAAAACACAAATGCGCCTTTCCCTTCAGAAACTAGCAGAGTGTGATGGATCATGGGAAGCAAATCATAATGCAAAGATTACCATCACAGAGAGACCGCCAGATATGTGGCTGTGGGGAATAAAGTGTTAAAGTTCAATTTCACAACAATACCACAGTTTACCATTTGCTGTGTTTGTTTTCTGTCATTTTTCTGATGACTGATACAATAGCCTACGCTGCAGGTCAAGCAGAGACATGGGCAGCTGGTCAGTGATCCAATCATAAAAAAATCAGTAACACCTGTACTTTCTAGTGATTGGGCCGTAAAGACACCTTCATAAAAGGAGAAGAAAGAGTAGCCGAGGAGACTCCCACACACATACACACACAGTAAGCAGCACTACCTGAAATAAAATAAACAGTTGTGCTTACCTGCCATAGCCAACCTGGGGCCTCATGTATCAACGCTGTGTATGCACAAAAACTTTGCGTAGGCCAGGTTTCACGCACGCGTTTGGATTCACTAACGACTCCACGCCAACTTCATGTCTGGCATACACGCATTTCTATGGGACGAGATCATCTACATGTCTAGCAGGTTTATGAGGTATGACCAGCCTAACATTAAATCGCAATTTGCAGCGATCGCCAGTTTCCCAAATGTAATCAGAGCAATCGACTGCACACACATTGCTATAAAGGCGCCGTCTGAAGACGAGTTTGCATACGTGAATCGGAAACGTTTCCATTTAATAAATGTGCAAATAATATGTGATGCTCAAATGTGCTTAACATAATACACACGCTTATAAATGATTCCTACTTGTCTTCCTGGTGATGAAGAGTAGGCTAAATCTGATATGTAGTGGGAGAAAAAAAAGAATGAGTTCATCAGATGCTGGATTCAAATCGAGGTTCATGAATGACAGTGTCAAAACATGTTGCCATGTGTGTTACGAGCTACGCCACTCACGCTGCTAATGTCGTCCCTCTTTAGCTTTGTTGTCTCTGTCGATCAAACGGGCAAAAATCACTCAATTAGCTCATTCCAACGACAAACTTGCAAATAACACTGTGTTTCTCCGGTCTACCTCCGAAAGCAGCACCTCCAAATCACATTCTGTTCAAAGTTTCTCTTCTTGTTTGCTTTTGCCGTTGCTTTTTCGTTGGGTGTTGCCAAAGTAGAGTCATTAGCATATTCATACAGGGGAGGAGGCAGGGAGGGGTTTTGTGCTCGTGCATGTTGAGCTCAGTTTCACGTTCATTCGGATGTACAAAGAAAATATGCGTGGGATTCGGCGTACTCAGTGTTTCATTCATCTGAATTTTATACTGCGTATATGTGCGCAGTATACTTATGCGTATACTTATTCCTAATTAATTGCACACAGCAGATGGTATATTGTGGTATGGTTGCTATTGCATTGCATTATAGGACCTTAATCTTTTTGGGTTGGTGTTTGTATACGCTACAAAAACCTCGTAATAAACTGCATTTTCTGTTATTTTACTAATTGATTCCTCTAGATATTATTTCTTACACATTATATTATTTCAAACTACTAAAGTTTCAATAAAAGTCACTTTGTTAAACTGTAGAGCATAAAAAGGTGGCAGAGCACAGATTATCCCCCCATAATACAACGCACCACCGCAAATAAACAGAAAACACCATAATACAGAAACCATTGATTACCAGATGCTTTACAGTATACAATTAGTGCAAAATCTGCAGTTCAAGTGTGTTTTGTAGATGCTGCAAGTGTGTACTCTCTACTGTTTTTTCTAGTGTAGGTCTATATATATCACCTACATTTAAAAAGCCATTAAAGCTCCACTTGTTAGCAACTAAAAGCATTATTATTACTGGTTAAAACGCAGATATAATAAAGTACTTTTAAGTATGTAACATACTGTCTTACCAGAAGCAGAATCCCACGTTCAGCTGTGCTTTTAGAGTCTCTCTTCTGATATAACGTTACACCAGCGCAGTGTTTCCAGTGTAGCTGTTTCTCTGAACTGAAACAGAAAGCAGGAGTGTGTGAAATCATGATGGATGGGACACAGCTGGTCATCTTCTCCCTTAAGCTGAACATGTCTGGTCAAATATTATGTACCGTCATTATGGCAAGTTTATAAACTAATTTTTTTAAAAATCATGTGCTCATGATTGACCGTGGCTGGTCTAACACGTGATTCACCAATCAGATAAATAACCAGAGTTTCTTACCTCAGTTATCTTTGTCTTGTTAAGTCCCCCTTTTCACCCCTACTCCTCCTCTTTTCCTTGACAGGGCGGCTTGGCAGCCCAGTGATTAGCAATGTTGCCTCAAAAATGTTACTGGTTCAAGTCTTTACCAGGCTAGTTGACGATCCTGTGTGTTTACATGTTCTCCAAGTGGTTGTGTGGGTTTCCCCCAGGTTCACTGGTTTCCTCCCACAGTCCCAAGACATGCGACATAGGTGAACTGACCAAACCAAATTGGCACCAGCAATATATCTCTCCATAGCAATGACTAATTTGTCATTAGCTATAAATAAGCAGTGGACTTATTATTACTTATTATGTTGGTATATATTCTAATATTGGAAATAATAAACTTGCACGCGGAATAGACGCGATATGTAAAAGACATGCTGCTATAGTTAATCCACTGTGTGTGTGTGTGTGTGTGTATTAGCCTTGGTGTATAAGCTCGGAACTTTAAACTAGCGCACAGATGGCATTTCTTTGTTTAGTTGCAGCCGTTTCGATTTGTGCAACATAAGCGCGGCGTTGAGAAGCCTTTACGAGTAAGCATCTAAATGTTTTCGACTGCTCGCACCACTCACTCGCTTAATGTCAGGTGACTCACGCTCTGCGCAGCCTTCATCTGCAGCTCATGCTGTATTGAACAGACGCAGGTCACTTCATATCTATAGCGGCCGCTATTCAAATGAACTGAATTTATTTTTGATGTCTTAGATGGCCGGAATAAATTGTCCGAACTTGGCTCTTGGGAGGTCAATTGAATAGCCCTGACCTACACTGTGGTCAGTGATGTTCATGGTGTCATATGCTGATTTTTTGTGTTTGTTAACATCATTTAAAAGTCCCTCAAGAGCTGTAAGAGACTGTATTTCAACCGAAACAAGTTGACGAGACGAGACATGTCAAGAAGGTCTTCTTAAAAAATATCGCAAGCAAAGATTGTTTTCGTAATATCAGATCTCTTCCAGTCAGAAACAAAGGGCCTATCTTGGTGGAAAGGAAAAAACAAATGTGGCCAAGTATGACGACCCATGCTCTGCATCCAAGTGCACATAGCAGTGAACGCACACATACACACACACACTGAACACACATGCGGAACAGTTGGGGGATTTGGTGGTGTTATTCAGGGGCAAAGAGAGTGCTGTTTATATCTGTAACATGAAGACTGATGCAGGCGTTGTAAGCTGAGAGTTTGACAGTAATGCACAGATAAACTGTCTCCTTCCACATGCTGGTTTTAGCTGGTTGACAAGCCTTGTTATATACGGTACAATGTTTTATATACAGTACAGTTTAATTTAAATCTTCTCTCCATTAAACACATTTTTTATACAATATCAGATTATATATATACACAGCTGAAGTCAGAATTATTAGCCCCCCTGTTTAATTTTCCCCAATTTCTGTTTAACAGAGAGCAGATTTATTTACTCATTTCTACATATAATAGTGTTAATAACTGATTTATTTTCTCTTTGCCTTGATGACAGTAAATAATATTAGACTAGATATTCTTCAAGACACTTCTTTACAGCTTAAAGTGACATTTAAGGGCTTAACTAGGTTAATTAGGGTAACTAGGCAGGTTAGGGTAATTAGGCAAGTTATTTTATAATGATGGTTTGTTCTGTAGACTATCGAGAAAAAAAATTTGCTTAAAGGGCCAATAATATTAATCCTTAAAATCGTGTTTAAAACATTTAAAACTGCTTTTATTCTAGCCGAAATAAAACAAATAAGACTTTCTCCAGAAGAAACAATATTATCAGACATGCTGTGAACATTTCCTTGCTTTGTTAAACATCATTTGGGAAATGTGATGCGTGTGTGTGTGTGTGTGTGTTATATCAGATCTCTTCCAGTCAGAAACAAGGGGCCCATCTAGATGGGAAGGAAAAAAGAAACATGGCCAAGTATGACGACTCGGCTCTGCATCCAATTGCACACACACAAACACACAAACACACACACACACACACACACACACACACACACACACACACAATGCAGTTGGGGGTTTAGTGGTATTATTGCAATTGAGAGAGAGTACTATTATTCACAGGCATCAGTTGCTGCATAATAATAGTTTAATATCTGCTACATGAAAACTATGGGCTTATCATACACCGGCGCAATGTGGCGCAAGAGTTGTTTTGACATTTTGCGCCACGCTGTTTAAGTAGCGAATACATTTGCACTCATATGTGCACCCATAGGCGTTCTGCTCTAAAAAAGCAGGCGTGTTTTGGCGCATTGCTATTTTGAGAACCTATAATAGTCTGTTCTTTAGACCAGAACAAACCCAGGTTTGTGCCTCATTTACACACTGCTTAATACACACAAGATGTAGAGCAATACGCAAATATCTTTACATGTGAAAATGAATTAAAATATTGAGGATATGTATAGGATATAAATATAAAGGATTAAAATATTACAAAACATATTATTTTCTAGCCTACATAAATATGAAACACTGCCTTCATGCCTTTATCACGGGAGGCTTTTTCAGTTCATAACAATTTGCTTTTGTATAATGTTATTATTATTAGCAGTATTATTTATTATATCCATATTTATATTTGTTTTATTAAAAACAAGCTTAGATTTGTCCACCTTTCAGGTTTTAGACCATATGGGGCACAGCATGTGTTTTAGGATATAACTCAGGTTTTTGAGCACACTTCATTATTATTGTTCATTTATTCGTTTGCTGGAAATTAGAACTGAATTTAGAAATAGTTTTGAAACGAATCTTTGCGCTAAACAAACAAAATTAATTATTTATAGGCTAATTGATGTCTGTGCGTAAAGGTTTCCCTATCCAAGAGCGAAAGTGAATTATGAGATGCCTCATCTCTCATTCTCGTGCTGTAGATGATCTGTTTAACTGTTTTCTTTCTAGTGAAATGCTCAGTTTTTTCACTTTGCGTCCTGTAAATAGCAAATATGCCATGACGCGAAGCAGCTGGCTCTTAAAGGGAATGGGAGATGAGACTCTGATTGGTTTATTCTCAAATCACACCTATAACTCATTAAGAGAATAAACTCAACCCTTTTAGACCATGCGCCACGGCGCAAAGCGGAAAATTTAGATGATATGTTGCATTTTGACACGCCCTAAAATCGTTTGCACCCTGCACTTTGCGTTTTGCGTATGAACCGTCAAAATAGAGGACCCTAGGTGTCATTAGCTGAGAGTTTGTGACAGGAATACAGTTAAACTGGCTCATTCCACATTAAAAATACTATAGTAAATACTGTAAATATAGTAAATTATAGTTAATACTGTAAGTTTATTGACTATAAGTCATCTCTGGTGATTAAACAAAACTATAAAAAGGGGAAACTGTTTTTTTTTTTTTTTTTTTGAGCTTGGGAATTATTTCATTGTTGCAATCAAGATATTTGTCAGACCACAAGCAGTGCAGCCACATGAGGTGCTGTGCATTGAGTTGAGGTGCCTTTAACGTAAATCTCCAGCAAGTTCACAGTCCACAAGCTGTGGACTTAAAGAAACTGGAGTGATGTGGACTCTTGTGACTTAAATTTAAGATCCATTAACACAGCAGATACAATTCATGTCATTTGATGAACTGCCGACAACCGAACCATAATAACCGAAGAACCTCACCTTGCAAGCCTCCCGTCTGTCCACACACCCATAAAATCCCAACAACATGGAGTATTACACTGCAAGGGTCCAGGCAATTCAATTCAGTAAAACATTTAGCCCACAATAAATTATACGTTGATAAACATCCACAGATTGCACTGCTGTCATTTTAAACTACTAGCCAGGGTAATCAAATCTGTAACGCATTCGGTAGAGTAGCATCTTTTCAGATGTAAACATTAGCTACTGATATTTTGACATCAAAATGGGTGCCAACCTGGGGTCCGTTCTTCGTACGTGGATTACTCAGTTAGCTGGATTTGGATATTGACGATTTGACATGATCCAGAATCATTTTGTTCTTCAAAGCTGATCCGAGAGTTGTTGTTATAGCAACAGTTCTGCTAGGTCAAACCTGGTCTGGAGCAGGTTCAATTCATATAAAGAGGATTAGATCGTCTCAGTTCAAGCAAGATAATACAGAAAGTATGTTCCCAATTCTGATATTTTCTTTCAGTAGTAGTTATATACACTTGGGAAAATGGTACATATTTTTTAACTATATATATATATATATATATATATATATATATATATATATATATATATATAAAGTTATAGTCATTAATAAAATAAATAAAGTTATACATATTAATAAAACTTATGCAATCTGCACCCTCAAAATTAAAGTAGAAAGACTGCCACCTGCTGGTGCAAAGAGAAAACTTATTGATATGAACTTTTTAGATCGCTTTAATACAAATTGTGTATAATAGAAATGCAGAATATGTGACTTTTTAAAGCAATAATACATTAATGCAGTCATAAACATGTTTTGACAGTTAATATGCCAGTGATGCTTCACAAAAGTTGCAGACGCCTTTACCAATATGTAAATGCTTTCGTAAACAACCAGTTATTCTTTACACCGATTAAAAAACGGCTACTATAATAAAGAAAATCTTTTCTAAATGAAAAACTAAATACACTGATATGCATTGAAATACATGATGAATACTCTTGACACATGAAAGTGTAAACCCTGCAGCTCACAACAAATGTGGAAGGTTATTGCGTGTCATATTTAACAAGCCGTTTACTGCTAATTTGATGTAATTTTGCTCACATGGATATTTGAATATTAATCAGATGATGTCATTACGCTGCTGTGCCGTCAGCCAATCGTTGCATTGCTGATCATGATTTCGAGGATGGATAGATCTGTCCTTCACAACACACGCAGCGATCTCAGATCAGTTTATCCAGACATTCTAATCTGATTCGTGAACTCGTTTGAAGAACCAAATTAGCCAGAGATCAGTTATCCAGATTAAAAGATCCGGGATCTGCCAAATAATCTTAGATCATTTAAGCGAGGTACGAAGAACCGACC